ATCATCCATCCATCCATCCATCTCTGCCATCTATCTATCTATCTATCTATCTATCTATCTATCTATCTATCTATCTATCTATCTATCTATCATCTATCTAGGCAAATGGGCCTCCTGCTTGTAGTCCTTCCTTAAGGGTAGCCTTTACTTTCCACCTCCTTGCTTTCTTCCTTGGGGTTATTAAAATCAAATTGAAATAAAGCTAAAGTAAAATCATGCTGGTTGGACCGACGGCCTCCAAACTTGTGAGCACCAGGGACAGGTTCCACGGAGAAAGATTTTTCCAGGACCGGAGGGAGTGTGGTTTTGCGTGCTGCTTGCATCCCATGGATGGGGGGCTTCGCTTGCTTGTGCGGCCAGGTTTCTGGCATGCCGTGGCCGGGGGTTTAGACATTGAATGAGAGACTTCCAGAAAGCTGCAAATCTGGAGGCTTAGCTGGATAGCTTAAAAAACAAACAAACGATCCAGAAGAATTAGCATCCCCATCCATGCGGTTGCCAAGGCAACCACTCCATGGGTGGAAGTCAGCGAGAGTCAAGATTGGCTCAAATTAGACTTAATTTTAATCCGAAGCCAGGATGTCAACAGTTGTTAACAGTTAAGTGAGTCTTTCCTGATTTTGCAACCTTGTTTTGCCACCGTTACGGAAATCACAGTAGTTGCTAAGTGAATCGTGCGGTTGGTAAGCAAATCCGGCTCCCCCCCCTGCCCCTCATTGACCTTGGGGGCCTGCTGGGAAGGTCACAAATGGCGATGGGACACTGGACACTGCAAGTATTGTGAATACGTGCAGGTTGCCGAGATCCGAATGTTGATCGTGAGGACGTGGTTTAAGTCCCTTTTTTCATAGTAAGTCAACTCGATCATTGGTCACTAAACAAATGATTGTAAGTCGAGAACTACTTATAAAGCCCGGGAGAGAATGTAAGGCCCCTATTTTGTCCTCGACTTAACGACCACAATTGAGCCCAACATTTCTGTTGTTGTTGAGACATTTCTTAAAGTGAGTTTTGCCCCATTGTACGACCTTTCTGGCCTCGGTTGTTAAGTGAATCACCACAGTTGATAAATCAGTAAACCGGTTGTTACGTGAACCCGGCTTCCCTATTGACTCAGCTTGTCAGAAGGTCGCAAAAGGGGAATCACATGTCCCTGGCACGCAGCGACGGTCGTAAGAACGAACCAGTTGCTCGGCGTCTGAATTTTGGTCACATGACCTGCAAAGGTCGTAACGTTGAAAGAGTCGTAAGTCACTTTTTTCCAATGCCGTAACTTTGAACGGTCGCTAAATGAACTGTTGTAAGTCGAGGACTACCTGTATGTGTTTTACTTTGGTTTTTCTTTCCGTGTGAAATGATTTTTCCTCTTGCAGCTCATTTCCATCATGTCATCGAGCAGCTGCGGTTTCGCCAAGGAAGCAGAGCCAGTATTTTCCTATCGGCAGGTGGGGCTCCGTCTTGGCAGGGCCGTCGCTAAGAGGGATCAAGGCAAGGGAGGGTTGGGTTGGAAGCGCCCAATAAAAACACCCCAATCGTGGCCAAAGCTTTTCCAAAGTTGAACGACGTATTGCTAAACCATTTGAAGAAAAAAGGGTGATCTTGAATTGGCTGTTTTCCCACCGGTCCAGAACTCTGACGGCTCTTTGCAAAGGGCCAAACCAATTTACTCCGAATTTAATTTTGATGTAGCTCAGGGTATTTGTGGGGAATGAGAGTATCCTAATATATCTATATATATATATATTCGTAGCTCAGGGTATTATAGGAACTTTGGCCTGGTGGGTTGGTTTTTATACCTTGAGTGAACCCCCCAAAAACCCCAGCTCTGTTTGATAGCCCTTGGACTAGTGTCTCATTGTGTAGCTGAGTTGCTCCATGCGTTACTCCGAAGGCAACACAAATCCTAAAGAGGTGAGAGAAATGGAGGCAAAGGATTTCTTTGCAAGTGGAGAGAGAATTCGGAAGATCTTCCTTTTTCCTACTTTTTAAATTATGTATCTTAATGACTTTAAGGTGTCTGGACTTCAACTCCCAGAAGGCCAGGGGATTCTGGGAGCTGAAGTCCAGACGCCTTAAAAGTTGCCAAGATTGAGAAACACTGAATATCTATCCTTGCTTGCAAGTGGCCTGAAGTTGCTCCCGTGGGGGACGCACGGAAGGATCCCCTTTTTAAATTGAGATTCCCTGCGCCCAACACACACACACCACACACAATCTTTCCTAACCACCTGCTCCCTTCCCTTGCAGTGTTCCAGTTCTCCTACACCGCCATCTTCGGAGCCTACACCGCGTTCCTCTTCATCCGAACAGGTTGGTGAAGGGTTGGGAGCTGGGATTTCCTTCCTTCCCGGAGTTCTCTTCCTCCCAGTTGCTCATTTGCATGCAAAAGGCAAGTTTCCTCAACCGTTAAATTACCTGCCCATTTCCTCTACTGTTTTACCTGCCAGGTGAGTCTCTGGAAGTCCCCCCTTGAAGGGCTGGGTGGTAGCTGAGAACGATGGGAGGTTTTAAATCTTAAAATTGAGGCCTAGAGCCCTCTTTTCTGCCAATAACCCTGTTCAAACTCCGATTCTGAGTTCCTCTCCCTTACTATCACAGCTAATCCGGGATTAAGACAAAGCGGGTGGTTTAAGATAGCCCTGTGGTGGCTTAGTATCCGGCGTGAGCCGATCCTGGGTGTTTTTTTTCCTTTGCAAAATTGAACTTGTTTTTCTCGCCCGCCTCCCAGTTTAAATTCTTCATTTGGCTTGACTGAAGGTGTTATCGGCCCACCCAAGATCCCTGGGTGGTGGCTTTTCCACCGAGGAAACGAAAGCTTGTTTTTCTCCCTGCTCCTCGGAAGGGGCGGGATCCTTCTTTTCACCGTCGCCCTCTCTCTCCATGCAGGACACCTCATTGGGCCGGTTCTCTGCCACTCCTTCTGCAACTACGTTGGATTCCCTGCGGTGGGCGCAGCCCTGGAGCACTCGCAGTGTTTCCTGGTGGTCTTCTTTTACCTGCTAGGCGTGGTCCTCTTCTTCCTCCTCCTCCTCCCCATGACGGACCCGGCTTTCTTCGGACACCTGCCCATCTGCTCCCTTTCCAGACTGACCTCTCCCGCGGATGGCCTCACCAGCTCTTCCTGGTGCTCCTGACAGCCCCATGGCGCCTCCGCTGCGAACACACCCTCACCCTCCGCCCACCCTCTCCGGGCGCTGTGCTCTGTGTCCAAATTGGTTCCCAGGCACCGTTCTGCTCCGCAGCTGGGAAGGAAGGGCAGGAGCTCCCCTCTTCCCAGAGAGGCTCCTCACGTCAACCCCGTTTGCCATTGATGGGTAGTCGCGGTGGCACTCTCACGCACCTCCACCCTGAGCCCACCACCCCTTTTTCTAGAGATCCCCGGGCCCTTTTCCTCCAGGCCCTGAAGAGTTCTATTTTTTATGAATAAAGTACTTTAAGGAGGTGCCTTGGTTGGTTGAATGGACTCAGGGGGGGGATGGGGGGGACGGACTGTAAGTGAGATCCAAACGCTGCCTGTCCGTCCTTTGGGTCTCTTCCCTCGGCTAGATTTCTCGGAGCTCTGAGGCCATGAGAAGGAGAGCCCGCCAGTGGATTCTCAGCAGCCAAAGCAAGATCGCTTGAGGGAGAGTAGTCTAACTCCATCTTTGCTCACTAGTCTTAACTGCTCAAGGAGCCAGAGCGGATATCTTGTCAAGGAAGGGAATTATCTTTTTCTGCAAGCAGCTGTTATTTGAGGGGCATCAACCACAGGCCGCATTAGAAAGTCAGAAGGGAACCACAGGCCATCTCAGGATATGTGGGCAGAAGGGAGAGGGCTGGCTTCCAGAATAACAGCTGGAAGGGACCTTGGAGGTTTTCTAGTCCACCCCCCTGCTCAGGCAGGGAACCCTATGCCATCCCAGACGAAGCGCTGTCCAGCCTCTTCTTAAAATCCTCCAGTGTTGGAGCACCCACAATTTCTGGAGGCAAGCCGTTCCACTGGTTAATTGTTTTAACTTTTAGGAAATTCCTCCTTTGTTCTAGATTGCTTCTCTCCTTGATTAGTTTCCACCCATTGCTTCTTGTCCTGCCTTCTGGTGCCTTGGAAAATAAGTTGGCCCCCCCCCCCCCATCTCTTCTTTGGGGCAGCTCCTCAAATACTGTTATGCCACCCTAGTCCTTTTCTCTAGATTAGC